CTTTGCATGGCACAAAGGGGCTTCCTAGCATGCTGTGGCTCTGGGGCTGTAAAAAGCCCCAGAGCCACGGTATGCCAGGAAGCTCCTTTGCTCCGTGTGAAGCCCAGCCCCAGCAAAAAGCCCCAGAGCCACACGGTGTGCCAGGAAGCCCCTCTGCATCACTGAAAGCCCAGCCCAGCCCAGCAGTGTGGCGCAAAGGGGCTTCTTGTCTCCCACTGTTGCCCCAGGAAGCCCCAGCCAGCCCAGGAAGCCCAAGCAGCGTGGTGCAAAGGAGCCATCCCAGAAGCCCCAGCTGTCCCAGCCCAGCTGACTTTACTGCCCTGTACTCTGAGACCCCTGCTGATGAGGCAGGCCCACCCTGGCCCTTCGCGAGGCAACTGGTGGTCACATGAGGCCAGCTACCCCAGGTAGCCCTAGCAGTGCGGCGCATAGCTGTCACCCAGCAGAGCAGCGTGAAGCTACTCCCCAGAAGTGAAGCAGCTGCCCCAGGAAGCCCCAGCCACCCCAGGAAACCCCAGCAGCATGGCACAAAGCTGCCGCCCTCGCTGCCCTACCATCCTACACGCTGCCACCCCAGCTGACCTTCGCTGTCTTCTTGCATGCCCGCTCTGGTCCTTCATGAGGCAGCTGCTGGCCACATGAGCCCATCTTTCCCAGGTCTTGTGAGGAAACCACCGAAGGGCCAGGCTGGGCATGCTTTGTCAGCAGCGGGAGCAAGAAGACAGCGAAGATCAGCTAGGGTGTCAGGGGCTGCAGAATGCAGGGGGACAAAAGGGCATAGACAGGGGCAGATGGGCAGGGGGAGTTGAAATGCCTGAATTTTGATCATGTGACCGTGGGGGCATTGCAACAGCCATAACTTTGGTGACTGGTCGTAACTTCAGCCGCTGAACGAATGGTTGTAAGTCGAGGACTACCTGTACTGTAAAACTTAAATTACATAATTTGTGTCATGCCAGTTGGCTCTAAGGAAAGGAAAGATGGGTTAATTTAACAGTATTGTTTTCTTTTGAGATAAAATTATTATTTAAATATATAACATATCCTGCTTCTCTTGCACTCCCAATTCAAGGCACAATTTACACCCCAGATCAAGAGAGTTTGTTCAATTTCTCATATCTTTTCTTCACTTTACTTTTATCCCAGTTGTTCAGAAGGAATTCCACTGGTGGTTTTGCTGAAGTTCTGCTCTGAAGGAGATAATATCCCTGATGCGCTTGCACTTGCTGACTACCTGAATGAATCTTTACAACTAATTGCACCTCAAGTAAGTATGCATTCCATTACTTTGATTTGGGGAGCTAAGGAAGTTTCTTCAGCAAATTGCATGAAATTGATTATGGGCCCAGAATTTATTTGAATATTTATTTATTTATTTGACTTTTAAAACACCATAATCTTGTGACTTTTGGTGGTTCAAAGAAATAAAAATATATACAACATTATTTAAATTTAAATGAATATATACAACATTAAATTTAAATTAATTTAAATTAAAATAGTATCTCAATCATAGCTAACGTTTCACTAGTTCTTTGTTAATTAGTTAAAAGCACTCCAGAAGAGCTTTAATTTAAAGTAAAATAGTATCCCAGTAATAGCTAACATTTCAGTGGTTCTGTGTTAATTAATTACAGTGGTACCTCGGATTACGAATGCCTCTGTTAACGAACTTTTTGGGTTACGACCAGCTCCGGCTGCAAACATTTACCTCGGTTTGCGAATTCCGCCTCGGGGTACGAACAGGATACGCGGCCATTTTCTCTCCCGTGACACGGTCTGCGGCCATTTTTCCGCCCCTGACACGTGGTCCGCAGCCATTTTCCGCCCGACACGTGG